CCCCAAAACCCCAAAACCCCAAAACCCCAAAACCCCAAAACCCCTTCTAGCAACCCTCCAAGAATATTTATTCAAAATAGTACCAAAAAAAGTGGAATTTTGAGTACTCAAAGTAGGATTTTAGAAGACTTTTTGTGTAGAATGGGGGATTACAGTGGAGAATTTTTATGACTGGAAGGAATAGAGGTGGCTTAAGGGATTTTTGAGGGGTGGAGAGGGTGGGTGTGGCCTGTTTAGAGGACCCAGGTCTTGGATATGCCTGTTTAGGTGGTTGGGGGTTGAGAAGGTTGGAATTTGGTGAAGATTTATAAGTGATCGGGGTGTAATTATAGATATAGAGTAGTTATTGGTGTAGAGTTCCTCATCTGAGGCTTAGACAAGCTGATAAGTTTAGTAAATATTAGTTATAGTCTTGCAGGCTAAGCAGAAGCATTGTTATATTTATATGAAAATATTCTATAGTCACATATATTTTAAGAGTGAACAAAGTGGAAAACAAATATTAATTTCAGTTAAGCTCAGGCATAAGTTGTGATAGCCTGACTTACCAAAAATATAATATAGCTGCTACAAACCATAAAGACTTAGTTAATATCAATAATAAATTTCGTGACGAAACTTAAATTTAGGACTTTCTTTCCCAAAGTATCAATGGAATAGCATTCAAAACTGTCTAAGTGACAATGAGGAAGGATGGAGTGACACTTACAGGAATAGCAACCTTCTGCTGAAAATCTATCACAGGTTGCCTTACTCATGCTTGTCTACGAAGAAAGAGGATTCTAGTGAATTATTCGAGTTCTGAAATTATTTATTCAATCATGATATATCATTTCCTTCTACAAACAAAACATTTATTAAGAAATTTTGTGATAGAGAATGTAAACTCTGCTCATGAAGATTTGGGCATACTTCAAAAAAACAAGAGTCTTTCCCAAGAATATCGTTAGGTGACCAAGAATAATCTACCTTTGCTAAAATTTCATGAATCTCATGAATCACTGAGAGAGGCTAATCATGATTTCAATAAATTAGATGAGAAGGAAATCTTCGGAGGTGAACAGATCCTGACTTTACTCAAAGAATCTATCAAAGGATTTGAAAATACCAACCAGAGATCTGAGGAAGATGCTAAAACTTTAGAATCCTTGCTCGATGTCAACAGCTATGACCCTGAAGAGTTTTATAATAGCTCTGGTAAAGCTCAGTTCTTTGATGTTGTCAAGCATCCTCTCTCTGGAATCAACCTGATCAACATCTGTGAAGAAATGCTACTTCAGGGTCCAAGAATGGACAAAAAGCATACCTCTTTCTGGTATGTTGCTGGTCTCAAATTTCATGAAAAATATGAAACTGACTTCCTAGCAAGACATTTGACTTTACTAGCGATATTCTACCATGCTCAAGAAAGAACAATGATTGCAGAGGGACTTCTCACAAGAGCTCTTGAACTTACCAAGGGTAAGGGAGATATTCAAGAGGCATTCACATTCAAGATTTATGGTCATATCCTCAGGTCAAAGCCTTCAAGAGCTAATGGATCTAAATAATTGATTATGAGAGTAACTAAGATTGAGCAGCAGCTAGTCCCTTGGACTAGCAAACTGGTCCAGATGCATATCCCTGCACTCTACAACTCTCTTTCAATATTCATGAAACAAGAAGGGGTTTTGGGGTTTTGGGGTTTTGGGGTTTTGGGG